AAACTTTAAATGTTTTATAACATGAATTCATTTAGTCATCATAACAAGCCTATGCATTAGATACTATTCTTAGCCCCATTTTCAGAGAAAGAAATTGAGGTAAAAATATGCCCAAGGTCACTTAGATATTCTGTGGTAGAACAGCCATTTGAACCCAGGCAACCTTTGCTGTAGGTCTGTGCTCTCAAAATCACTCAGCTTTCCTGTCTCTTATGTGATTTTCAGTTACTATCCCTGTCTGTGAGCATTAGAAATACACCCCCACCCCCGCCAAAAAAAAAAAAAAAAAAAAGAAAACTAAGGCTGAGGAATAACTTGTTCCAAGTCTCATCCGTATAAAGAGATTGTGTGGAGTTGGAATTTAAACTGAATTATTTTCTTCTCTGTTCCCAAGTGTTTAAGCTACTCTCACCTACTGCTTTGGTATGACAAACTTGATTTAAACATTCTCCAGTTATGACCCAACATATATTCAGTTACCTGTTAAATATGAGTGCACAGGTTAGTGTGTCAATAACTATGTTAAATATTAGCGATACTAATGAATATCTTAGTCTTGTCCTTGATATTCATATGAACAAATCTAGTAGGTCACTTGCAAATTTCTCTAAATCTTGTTTGTTAAGATTTTTATATCCTTTTTTCAGTCAATTTTCATCATTTATATTTTCTTAGAAAATCATTTATTGTACTGTATTTTCACATATATTAGCATACAGTTGTAAACTGATCCTTTTATAATCATTTTCAAATTACTTTCTTATAATCACATTCCCTTTACCCTCTGGATTTTGTGATTAATAAAAGTTTCCCTCATTTTTCCATTATATTAGCTAGTCTAAAACAGTTTATGTATTATTTTTATTTTACCCAAGGAAACAATTTCAGGATTTATCAGTTCTATGCTTTTTATAGCATGCTTTTAGTTTTCTAAATGTACTTCCCACTGAAACTTTTTCTTATTTTTTACAAACATTTAAAAAATTATTCCCAGAGCTTACTACTTACATGCTACTATTGCCATCTTAAAACAACTCTCCTTGCCCACCTGCATCTCTTACCACTCTTTCCTTCCCTTACCAGAGGCCAGCACACATGGTCTTCTTGCTCTCTTAACACACCAAACTAATTATTTTCTTAGAGGACACATTTTGTAGGACACATTTTTGTATCCATAAACTCTCTACCAGGGTATATTTTTTTGTGGATACTTCCTTCTTATTATTTAGGTCTCATTTCAAATAATGCCTCATTGGAAACCTTTCTCTGACCGCTCCAACTGAAACATCCACTCCCTACTCTAGCTGATCCCATTCCAGTAGCTTTGCCCTGTTTTGTTTTCTTCATAGTATAGATAGCACCATTTGATATTTTAATTCAATAATTTGCAAGTTTATTGTCAGTCTCCTTGATCCAAACTTTATATTTAAAATAATATTTATCTGCTTGTCTAAAACTGTATTGCTAGCACACAAAACAATGACTAGTGCTTACAAATAGATTAATTAATTCCTTTCTAGTATTTATTGTATTACCCCATTTTTATGTTATGAATAAATACCTGAGATTAGGTAATTTATATAGAAATAGAGGTTTAATGGCCTCACAGTTCCACACGGCTGCAGAGGCCTCACAATCATGGCAGAAATTGAAAAAGGAGCAAAGGCACAGCTTATATGGCGTCAGGCAAGAAAGCATGTGCAGGGGAACTGGCCTTTATAAAACCATCAGATCTTGTGAGACTTATTCATTATCACAAGAACAACGTGGAAAAAAACCCATACCCATGATTCAATTACCTCCCACTGGGTCTCTCCCTGGACATGGGATTATGGGCCATACAATTCAAGATGAGATTTGGGTGGGGACACAGCCAAACCATACAATTCCACCCGTGGCCCCTCCCAAATCTCATGTCCTCACATTTCAAAATATAATCATATCCTTTCAACAGTCCCCCAAGGTCTTATCTCGTTCCAGCATTAACTCAAAAGTCCGAGTCCAAAGTCTCACCTAAAACAAAGAAAATTTCTTCCACCTATGAACCTGTAAAATCAAAAGCAAGTTAGTTACTACCTAGATACAGTGGGGGTACAGGCATTGGGTAAATATGCCCATTCCAAATGGGAGAAATTGGCCAAAACAAAGGGGTCATAGGCCTCATGCACGTCTGAAATCCAATAGGGCAGTCATGAAACTTCAAGGTTCTAAAATCATCTCATTTGACTCCATGTCTCATATCCAGATCATGCTGACACAATAGGTGGGCTCCCACAGCCTTGGGCAGCTCTGTCCCCTGTGGCTTTGCAGGGGACAGCCCCACCTGTCTGCTTTCATGGGCTGGCATTGAATGCAAGCTGTCAGTGGATCTACCATTCTGGGGTCTGTAGGATGGCAGCCCTTGTCTCACAACTCCACTAGGTAGTGCCCCAGTGGGGACTCTGTGTGGGGACTCCAGCCACATATTTCCCTTTCACACTGCCCTAGCAGAGGTCCTCCATAAGGGCTCTGCCCCTGAAGCAAACTGTTGTCTGGACATCCAGACATTTCCATACATCTTCTGAAATCTAGACAGAGGTTCTCAAACCTCAATTCTTGTTTTCTGCACACCTGCAAAACCAATACCACATGAAAGCTGCCAAGGCTTGGGGCTTGCACCCTCTGAAGCCACATCCTGAGCTGTACCTGGGCCCCTTTTAGCCATGGTTAGAGTTGCTGGGATGCACGGCGGTAAGCAGGGGGACCCTGGACCCAGCTCAGGAAACCATTTTTTCCCTTCCTAGGCCTCCAGGACTGTGATGGGAGGGGCTGCTGGGAATGTCTCTGACACATCCTGGATACATTTTCCCCTTTGTCTTGGTCATTGGCATTTGGCTCCTTGCTACTTATGCAAATTTCTGTGGCAGGCTTGAATTCCTTCCCAAAAAATGGGATGCAGGCTGCAAATTTTTCAAACTTTTATGCTCTGCTTCCTCTTGAACATTTTGTCACTTAGAATTTTCTTCTGCCAGATACCCTAAATTATCTCTCTCAAGTTCAAAGTTCCTAGATCTCTAGAGCAGGAGCAAAATGCTGCCAGTCTCCTTGCATAGCAAGAGTGACCTTTACTCCAGTTCCCAACAAGTTCCTCATCTTTATCTGAGACCACCTCAGTCTGGACTTCATTGTCCACATCACTATTAGTATTTTGATGAAAACCATTCAACACATCTCTAGAAGTTCCAAACTTTTCCACATTTTTCTATCTTCTTCTAAGCTCTTCAAACTGTTCCAACTTTTTCCTGTTACTCAGTTCCAAAGTTGTGTCCACATTTTCAGGTATCTTTACAACAGCACTCCACTCTATCAATACCAATTTACTGTATCAGTCCATTTTCATACTGCTATGAAGAAATACCCAAGACTGGATAATTTATAAAGAAAAAGAGGTTTAATGGACTCACATTTCCACATGCCTAGAGAGGCCACAAAATTATGGTGGAAAGTGAAGGAGAAGCAAAGGCATGTTTTACATGGCAGCAGGCAAGAGAGTGTGTGCAGGGAAATTGTCTTTATAAAACCATCAGATCTCATGAGACTTATTTACTATTATGAGAAAAACATGGGAAAAAACCCACTCCCATGATTTGATTAACTCCCAGCAGGTACCTTCCATGACACATGGGGATTACAGGAGCTACAATTCAAGATGAGATTTGGGTGGGGACATAGACAAACCATATCATTTATCAAAGCATGTTTAATTTCCAAAGAATTGCAGATGTTACTCTTTAATTTTGTTATTTTTAATAATAAAATTATTGATTTTTATTTTTATCTTAAAATAATTTTGCTATTAATTTCATCAATATTAAATTTAATTGTTAAACATAGTTATAGCATGTATTTTAATATTTAAAGGGAACCCATTTGGATTGTTCATTCAACATATATTTATTGAGCACTTATTGTATATATTGGGATACAGCATTGAAAAAAACATGTTTCTGTGTGTTTTTACTTTAATATGGTAGTTGTTTAACGTGTTATTACCCAAAATATAAAATAGAAGTTCTTACATCCTCTCACTAACTACAGGATGCCCTTTAAGCTTCTAAATTATAATTTAGAAGGCTAGCTGATATAGGTTGATTTATATACAGTATAATATCTAAATATAAATATAAATATAGTAGTCAAGCAGGCTGAGAGGAGAGGGAAGAGTCCTGGAGCTAGTGGGTAACCCAGCAAAGGAACTTTTACCTTTACCTATTCATTTTCTATGTGTGTTGAAATCTCTGAAGTTAGGGCCACCTTTACCCTTTCTCTAGTCCAGTGTCATAATATGGCTATGTTCAGCCTTCTTCCTGGTATTTCTGGTCACTGAACTACACAAGGGAGGAAATGCTCAAGTGAGAGAATAGGTCTCTGGATTCCTAACATCATAAAAAGCTACATCATAAAACCGCCCCTTACCCCTACTATTTGAATCTTACCCACAGCCTGCCTCTTTTGGCAGCCCTTGCTATGAGGTAGTAAAAGCACCCCTACACAGTTCTTGCACAGCCCATCCTAACATAGCCCTCAAATTAGAGGATTGTGTTATGCTCCTTAAAACTTCCATTACTTTCTAAACGTCTTCATCAAGAAAAGAGAAAAAGAATCATGGCTTAACATGTTACTTCAATCTAGTGTACCTAACATTCTATCAGAACTTCCCACCAAGTTAGAGTTCTATGGTGGAATCACCCCTTACTGAGGTGTACTTTTCCCTAGATGTGTTAAATGAATTTAATTCTGTTTCTATTACAGACTTTTGGAGTCCTTTACACTATCATCTAGAGCTCAACTCTCCTATCTTTAATCAAAAATAGATCAGTGTTAAGTTTTAAAAATATTATTCTCAGCTGTAAGTCGCTAATACTCACTGAATGTCGACATTCCTTTTACCATGGAGAGAAATGACAACCATGCTTCCTAATGATAGATGTACATATTTATTGCCTAGCGTTTTACCTTACCTGAGCAATATTGATTGCATTTTGGATTCGTATATCTTCCTCATAATCCTTTGTTTTCTGCAATGTTTGCCATATTATATTTCTAAGTCCATCCTGTTCTTCATCTCCTTGAAGTTCCCATGAAATTTTCACCAGGTTATACACTAAGCCATAGTAACCAGTCCAGACTACTTGATCACCTGTTTAAAAAGAAAAAGTCTTTGGGAATTATTATTTTATTCACCTTGCTAAAGTAAGACTGTGTGAAAAAGAAGAAACCAATTTTACCATAATTCATAATAATATTCTAAAGCCTGAAATTCTAAGCTGTGGAAATTTCCGACCCTCCACTGCTTTCTCTCCTTTACATTTAAAAAAGACCACAGATCATTTTAAAACTTCTAACCACATGAAAAGCAACACTGCACCTAACTGGTATACTTCAGAAATTTAAAAGTTAAATTGGTAAACTGTGAACTACATACACAAAACAAATTCTTAGAATTCAAATAAAGAGGAATCTGTTCAAAGGAATGTGAACACAGACCACCATGATGAATTTTTATAATAAAGTAGAAAAACCAGAAAAATACTTCCTGTTACTAAAAAAGTCAAACATTATGAAACATGGTATCTGAACCAAGAAGAAAATGTTTAAATCATGTGAAAAACATACAAAAACTACTGTTATAATTACAAGCTGAAAAATTCATTTTAATAATAGTGAAATAAATCAATTGGAATATAGGAAAAAGTAATGAAAACAGAGATTTAAAAACTCTAAGACACTCCTAGAATTTACACAACACTTAGCAATTTATATACATTATCAAGTTCCACTTTCAAAATATGTTTTTTCCTTAGAGAAAGGAGAAAGACATTTCTATTTACTCTTTATGGTAATTATTTCTTACCTAGATATTGTACATTTCTATGCAGTAATAGGAAAAAGGAATTCCAATTTAGGTAGATGTGGGAGAAATAAATTTGGGGAATAAAATAATACAGTTATCAAAGAGGAGAAGAACTTAGTCAAAAAGCAACATGAAAATAATGAGTATGTGAAGCAGATAAGAAGAACAAGAAGAGGAAATGGTTCAGAAAGGGAACTGAAAGAATTTTAAAGCCCTTTAAATTTCATATTGCACTTTTCTCCAAAACCCTGGTGACAGTCCATTGATGATTGTTGCCCTTTTTGAATAAAGATAGAAGCACAACCTGAAAAGTCACAATCCTCAACTTTTCCAAATGAATCTAGTTTTCATAATGCAGGTTAATAATCATCATCATTATGATTATAGCTAGTACACATGGGGGTACCAACTATGTCATCCAATTTTAGTTCTCACTACAATCCTGCTATGTAGATGTTATTATATATACTTAGAATAACAAAAGGGAACATATAAACTTGAACCTGCTTAGAAAGCTCCCTGGCATCAGACAGCTGTTGAATGAATGATAGAGTAGGTAAAGGCTGATCTAATCCTGTCCCATGCAGCACAGTCTCTCCAATTTATACAAGTACTTTTCTTTCCAGTCATGACCTTCCATTCCATTCATAGGAAAGAAAGAGTTTGAAAGAAAGAGGAGGCAGAAGAGTAAGTATGTACATGTTTTACAAGTAGGAGGAGGAAGGCATATATCCAGTTTCCAATCTTAAGGTATCATCTACCTTTTCTATTATTGGAACTTTAGGAGAGAAAGTATAAGCTGGAAGTAGGAAGCTACAGTTAAGCAGCCAATTATTTTTGAAACATCACTGTCTCCTTATAGGAACTTTACTAATTAAAATTGAGATATCACAATATTTGAAATAACATATAATATAAAACAAGTTTTTTGAATGAATGTCATTAATATTTTTGCACTGAACGTTTGGAATATAATAAAAAAGCCCAAATTTAAGGTTTGGGTTTTTTTTTCTTAAACCATTGTCTTTGTGAATAGTCTTGGCTAAGGTGAGAAAAAGATAATCTGTGTCTTCAAGTACTTGGTATGTCTGGGAGACTAGAATAATTTGTAAGAGAAATTAGAGGGTAATTGTTAAATGAAAAGATGATGGTCATTGATATAACAATCACAAAAGCAAGAGATCAATGAGGGCTAGAAGAGTAAGGAAAGGACTGGAGAAAGTATGAGTTTACAAGACTTGTCCAATAGGTAAATTTGGTAAAAGTGCAGAGGAAGATATTGGTGGAATATTTCAAATGGAAGGATATCTGAAAAAGGTTAGCTCTGAGAATAAACACTGTAATAGTTTCCTAGTTCTTTCATCTTCCTGTCTTATATTTACTGCTTCACCATTACTAATCCATGTTGTGCAAACTGACCTTTCTAAATCTCATTATGTTACTTCTCTACTCACAACTCAGCAAAGGATTGCCATTTGTCCCTATGTAAATTCCAAATTGCATGGCCAGGTAATTACTGTCTTTCTAATATGACATCATTTTGAACACATCTATCACCACACCTTTATTCCCACCCCTCTTGCTAATACACTATAAACAGACAAAACTACTTGAAGTTCTAGAATACACATTTCATTTAATCTTCTAGCCCTTGTATAAACTTTTCACTTAGCCAGAAGTTTTCCTGTCCAAAAATAACTCCACACTACACCTGGCTTCTATCCATTCTCCTGCATTCTTTCTCCTAGGAATCCTTCTCTGAATCCCCATGGCTAGCTAGGTGCCCCTGTGCCTAATATATTGTATCATATTGTAATTGCATATCTCACCTATGGATTCTAAACTACTGGAGAAGACAGAATGTCTTTTATTTGCTCAGATATTCTTAGCATATAGTAAAGTGCCTACAACAAAGTGCCTACAATATAGTAGATCTAATTTACAAAAATCCGTTTATTGATTTAGGGAAGTAGGTAGAGAGAACAACTATGTCCCTTTGCCTGGGGCAGAAGGGTTTCTTGGATCACAAGCTTTCAAGGACAAAACTGGGAAAGTCCACAGCAAATCAAGATATTTAGATCAGGAATATGGCCCCCAGCAGTGAGGTAGTTATACAGAGAGAAAAGGGAAGAGATGATAGTAAAGATCTCAAATGAAGCTGAAGCGGAGAGTTTATGCTAAAAATAAATAAGAGGCCAGCCATGGTGGCTCACATTTGTAATCCCAGCACTTTCAGAGGCTGAGACAGGAGGATTGCTTGAGGCAGGCCAGCAGATCAAGACTAGCCTGGGCAAAATATCGAGACCCTATCTCTATATCTCTATAGTTTGTTTTGGTTTTTGTTTTTGTTTTTGTTTTAAATTAGCTGGGCATGGTGGTGCACATCTGTAGTACCAGGTACTCAGGAGGCTGTGTTGGGAAGATCACTTCAGCCACAGAGTTTGAGGCTACAGTGATCTATGGTTAAAAAATATATAGATAAGGTACCAAAGTTATCTAAAGATAAATGGGATCAGATTAAATGGTAGATGTTTGAGGAAGGGAGTAATGTTATGTCTGCTCAATGCAATGTCATGTTTATTCAAGCAATAAACTGGGAAACCAATATAGTTTTATGAGGTAATCTAGGTCTTTACTGCAATGGGCAGCAGGAGATTGGCAAGGAAGGGACACAAACTTAAGACACTGTAGAGAAGATCTAATTGAACTTCTTAGCTATGGGGAAAGAGGCAGAAATAAAGGGGAAAGGAGAAGTACATTTTTAAGCTCAGGAGACTGAAACAATAATAAAACCACTTGAATAAATGAGAAGAGTGTGTAGAAGAGTCACTTTTAAGAAAAAGAAGATAAATATTTGGAAAATGTGGCATGGGAAGGGGAATCTAATGTTCAATGTCCTGTAGTTTGTTGTAAAAATATGGCTAGAATGCAAGTAAAATAGCAAGAGTGAGATTGTTGATTTGTGGGTCATTAGCTTGAAGTCAATACAAGTAAAGAAACACATTAATTTTTAAGTTAATAATTCTGGATTGTGAGCCTCAGAGAAAAAATAAGTTTTTGAACAATATTACAAATAAAACATACAGTGAATTTTAACTAATTTCTACATTTACTTACAGACTCTCAACATTAACACAAATGATTGACAAAAATACATAAAAACCACCTTCCTCTATATATTTTAAATTATCACTTTTTGAAGGTCAATATTTTATAAAACTACAATAGTTGAATTATCAAAAAGAATATAGTTTGGTTTTAGAATCCACAAGATCAACGAGAAACCACAAGATATATTCTGATAATTATGTTTTAGAAAGTCATAATTCCTTTTAAATTCCATTCATATTTTTAAAAGTGAGCTGTTCACCTGTTGATTTAAACTCAACTGAAGTGATGCTGATGAATAATATTTGCAGAGATAATTTATTACATCAAATTGACTGACAGTTAATGATGAAAACAACCTTATAAAGACAGATGGTATGTGTTACAACTGTCATAAAAAGTAGACCACATTCTAATTTGCACATCTAGACATTTGCTGAGAAACATGCCTGCTATGAAATGTTTCAACAAGGGACCAAGCTGTAGCATAAGGCACTCTTCTATTCTGCTTTGAGTGACCCTGTGGCAGCTATCAAAGATGTCACTTTAAATATACTGAGAGAAAATATGTCTGTGTCCGCAGCTAAGCAGACAGTATCCTAGGATATAAAAAAGCCAAACCAAAATGAGTTCTTAATAAATTCAAAAATTTTATTAAGAAACCACCACTGCACTTGAAAACCAATATTATGCACTTTTCTTTGTAGTAGTAATACCTTATTCCAGTGTTTGAACCCTTTGGTAGCCTTTAATTGCCACTGAAGATACTTAGATTTCATATATTTAGTGAAAGCGAAATATGAATATTTATACTTACGTGAATGAGTGTAAATGAGTATAGCCTTTGCAATTCTGTCAAATATAATATGATACTACAAAATCAAATGTGCCACTTAAAGGTAATTCAAATGTAGAATGTAGTTCAAAACACTGATTATGCAATGCCATGTAGAGTTGAAGGAACTAGATCAACGCCAAGAAACTAACATTTGGACAAGAACCAGTCAGCCAGCCATGCATTTAACTAATATTTACTGAGTGAATGAATGCTAGATGCCAGCCACTGTTCTCTGTACTAAAGAAAAAGGCAAACTGCTTCTCTGGGTATACTTAATTCCAATGGACAGAGACAGATACAAAGAAAGTAAATATAACAGTATCAGTTTATTATGAATGTT